ACCCTCAAGGAGGCCTTTGCTGATAACCGAAGAGGAGAACCAGGGAAGTTTATGGCTGCTGGAGGTGCCTGGAATATAGAGGACCTCAGGAGCAGGTCAGGTGTCTCTTCTACTGAAGATCTATGCCAATCCCTATTCAACTGTGCTGCAAATGGTTCTATACTGAATTACTAAAAAGGGACTGGTAAATCTGGAGTCTGTGTTTGTTTTACCCTAGATGTTTAGGCCCCTATGCTCTCTCTCCCAAAGTTAATTTGTTAATAAAGTGCTTCAGCATCATACTTCTGGCCTGGATTTTAACTCTGAGGGTCACTAGAAGAGGGTAGTTAATGTTAATGGGGCAGCTGTTTACCAAAATCCCTAGACAGATTATTACTAAAAGGTAACATGTTTTACTCATTAAACACCAAGGTATGAAAGCATGTCACACATATAGAGAGAGGTGTCTGCTCCTCCTTCTCTCCTGTCCGCAGCTTCTCATCTCCATGCTAACCATTGTGTGCATCCTGGCTGATGTGTTTTAAGGGGTGTGCTTTCTTTTTCAAAGCTCCGCTAATTTACACTATTTGTAAGCGGTACTTTACATAGCACAGCACATGCTGTGGCTGTATCCACCCTATTAAACATGCTGCGGTAATGTACTGCTGACATACTGGACCTATCATAAACACACAAATTCATGCCACAGAAATAAAAATTATTTTCTTTACTACATCAGGGGAACATTCCCCTCACTTTCTGTCTGGTAAAACATAAACTGGACAGTAAGAGAGGGTACATCTCTCTAACAGTGCTCCAGGGAGCAGTGAAAAACTGACAGGGGTTCTAACACTTCCCCACTCTATCCACAATTAAGAAAACAAGTTTTTGCTGAACTTACATTTTAAGCTAAGATAAATACAGTTTGTAAGTATGTATAGAAAAGTACATTTAAAGTGAATTTTCCACTCCTTCACTCGCTTATCTCACTACTCTCACTCCTTACAATACTGTGAAGTACATGTTTGTAAAAATAATTTGTTTTTCAATATAATTTCCTTATTATTCATTATTAAATGTTTAAAACAATCTAAGAGTTTGGAGAAGTGAACAATCTAGGACAACATAGCTGAACTGGAAAGTGAGCTGAATTGGAGAATTTTTCCAAATCTGCTATTTTGTTCTAGAACTTATCCTGCCTTCCCCAAACTCTTTACCCTTTAGTGAATAACCCTGTGAGTTTTCTTAGCTGACGAAGGATCAAGCCAACCATTTGGCTAATCTTTCGGCTCGCTTGAGCTGCAGGAAGCCTTCAGTTTAGCCGAACCAAAAGGCTGCTGTACGGACTATTCACAATAGCCCGTACAGCAGCTGAAGGCAGTTGAAGCACACAATTTAGCCAAACGCATATGCTTCGCTCTCATGATAGGTCACTTTGATGGCATAAAAAACAAATGGGCAGAGTGAGTGTAGAGGTCACCAATGGCTTCGCCCATCTGTTTACATTCGCCTGGGACCTGTCAAATCTCTAATTTTGTGGCAGCAGTTCGTCGGGAGCGTTTGGGACTGGCGGGTGGCAGGATGGTCTTTATTTCGCTGAGTCGGCGTCATCGTTCTGCCTGACTTAGTACGGCTCCCAGTCCGAACATGGAGGCGTCTGTATGCACGACAAAGTGTTTGTTAGGATCGGGTGCCGCCAGTATTGGAGCTTGCGTTAGTGCGGTTTTTAACTGATGAAATGCCGTCTCGCACTCCGGGGACCACAGAACCTGTCTAGGGAGAGTCTTTTTGGTCAGGTCCGTCAGTATTCCAAGGACCATGACATGCATCAACTTGAAAATCAATTAAATAAAACTGACCCAATGCCATTATAGTTTGCCATTATGACTGTTTTCCATTTACATGTTCTACTGTTACTGCAGGCACATTAACATGTATTAACGGTATTAATGCACATGAAGGTATAAAGAAGTGAAGGACTGTTTTAATGTGTATAGACTGATCCACTTTATTTTTATACACTGAGACACCTAGAAGCACAAAGACAAACCTGCATGCATCCCTAGTTTTTTGATTCACCTACTAGCGCTGTTAATTTGGTTTAAACATCCTCAGACCCAGCGGTCTTTATTACAGCAGCTTGCATTTTACATCACAATATTTATTTATTCATATTGATGTGTTGACACGATGCACACAAAAATCATCGCATTGACTTTGCAGTATTTAATATAAGTAATGTGTTAAGGAAACACTATTTTGATTTAAATCACTGCCACATGTGTGATATACAGCTAATTGAACTCCTAGCGCTGCTTATCTTGTTATAACATTAACACGTGCTGTGCTAAGGCAGCCTATTTATTATGAATAGGCTATCAATGCACCCCAACAGAAGGAAAAATACCTATGACCTTTTTGAGCAATACAAGGTATGTGTATTGTAGTGCAATTCGATATTTTGTGTGTTGTTGTTTACTGTACAGTGCATCGGGGTGCCATTCACATGCATTTTTGTATGTGTTACTGCAGTGCACAGGTGTGAAAAGGCACTAAACTAATTTCATAGACTTTGCGGTTGATTTTCTTAATTATTTTTTTTTATTTTAACTTTGTGTCACATGAACATATGAGGTGACCATTTTACTATCTCAATTTACACACCTCCACTGGGTCCATGTGGTGTAGAAGAGCTCATTGCTTTTCAGCTGCAGTTGTGGTTTTGAAGAGGAGGAGAATCACCCTTCTTAAAGTACACATCCAACAACAAAATATACTAAATGTGGGGCTCTTAAAGTGTCAAATCAGGGGTGAAAGGAACACAAATACATTGTATCAAACATATCACATATTTATTGAAAATGATAAAACAAACATCTATATTAAAACATATAAAAGATCCCAGAACTACTAGGATGTACACCAGCAACAGCTCCCTTCATAGCATTTATTGCTTATACCATTATACCTGCCTTAAGAAGCTTCAGCGAAGCGCGTAGAAGCCTGAACCCATTGCACATTTATTAATGGCCTAAGGATACAAATTATGATAATAGAATATATTTGGTTAATCTCTATGAGGACATTGAAGTTGAAAGAGTTTACCAAGCTATTTGTGAACATAATGTATCGATGTGGTCCAGGGAGGTATAATGCCGAGTGTAGGCAATAAATGCTATGAAGAGAGCTGTTGCTGGTGTACATCCTAGTAGTTCTGGGATCTTTTATATGTTTTAATATAGATGTTTGTTTTATCACTTACAATAAATATTTGACATGTTTGATACAATGTATTTGTGTTCATTCATCCCTGTAGACAAGGATGAATCCAACACAGCCACCAGGTTAGAGAGGAGCACAGAAATAAAGTGGTGACAGCAAAGCAAAGGAAGATACACTGGAAGGTAAGTGACGGAGTAGAAGTACAACAAGCAGTAAATAGGAGGAAGCAAACAGACAAAGACTGTAGAGGGAAAACACAGTAGAAGTAAGGCAAAGAAGGCAGTATGGAGAGGCGCACAGGTGAAGGCAATTAAGGAGCAAAAGCAGGGGATAACGCCAAACAGGGATACTAGCTGGTACAGGGAAGCCAAAGGCACAGGGATCCAATAGCAAGCGCAATAGCAAGCGCAGGGAATAAGATCCCAGGGATAGTCAGAGACAGAAGGGGTACGGAACAAGGCATAAGACTTGTTGCTCGCACCAAGAGCAACAAGTGAGAAGTCCTAAATAGGGGAGAAGGAGAGCAGATTGGCTGCAGCCTTGTGAGACACCATAGGCCGACAGCCCAGAAACAGGGAGCATAGCGAAAATCCGGCACGGATTTCCGGATATTGTGACAGACACCTTAAAAGCCCCGCATCTAGTATATTTTGATGTTGGATTTGTAAAAATAGGGGTGTGGTGTCTTGTTTTCTTTGGTGGTTCAAAATATATTTTTTATAAATTCTTAAAGTACACACCTGATGCTGAAGGACATACTAACTGGTGTCAGCTGATTGCCAGCACAATCGTGCCCTTTTCAATATGGGGATACTTGACTGTATGCTTTGTGTGGGAGTCTAGTATTGTTTTGAGGAATGGAGGTTTACACAATGTTTTTCACTTTATATTTAAATTAAACAAACTTCCACTGATAAAAAATACCAATGGATCAGCACATGCAAACCCACTATAAAACTTCAACAGTAGAGACTTTATGCACAGGTTCTCCCCACTAAAATGTTTGTATTAAGTACTGTAGGGATGCACCTATACTGATACTCGTACTCGCCCAAATGCTTCTGATACTAACCTCCGATACCGGAACTTCCGGTCAGAGGGATATTTCCCAGCTTCCTGATTGGCTAGGAAGCCGGCTTCACTTGTTGCTAGGCAGCCAATCAGGCTGGGGTGGCACATAATGTCTTCCAGCTTCACTTGTGTTGCTAGGCAGCCTGGCTTCCTAACCAATCAGAAAGCCAGATGGCACGTCATGACTTGCGTTACGGCTTCCTGATTGGTCAGGAAGCCACGCTGCCTAGCAACAAGTGAAGCTGGCTTCCTTGCCAATCAGGAAGCTGGGGGGTGGGTCATGGCGTGCCGCCCAGCTTCCTGATCGACTAGAAAGCCGACTTCACTTGTTGTGAGCCAGCCTGGCTTCTTGACCAATCAGGAAGCTAGATGGCACCTCATGACTCGCTGCCTAGTTTCCTGATTGGTCCGAAAGCCAGGCAGGCTCAGCAAGTGAAGGTGTTCTTTCACTAGAACATCGGCTTCACAAGCAATCAGGAAGACTTCCTGATGATTGGGACACATGGCACCGGTACTTGGTATCGGCGAGTACCGACAAAAAAAAATACAGGTACCCGTAACCGCAAAACCGGTATCGGTGCATCCCTAAAGTACTGTATAGTATTAATATTAGGTACTGGATATCATTTTATGTTGAAATGTTTACTTAACAAATTTTCCAGTAATAAAATATAATATCAAAGGTTATTACAGTTGGTTTTTACATGTGGTGACATGATGTGACTTACCTCTTCCTTTTCTGCTGATTGAAGGTCCTGCCACTCTTCAATAACATGAGCTAGATCCACAGTGTTCATATGTACGCGGACCTCCCCTATAGCATCATGCTTTGAGAACCGGTCAAAATCATATACAGACATCACTAATGTTTTACCTCCCAGCTCTGCATAGGGAATCTAGAAAAAAGGAGAAAACCATGAACAGATGGTTACTATGTAAAAATCTCTACACATTTATTTATTTTCAGTAAATTGGTTAGTGTTTATAGTACATTGTTCCCAAAAGGCTTGCATTTGTGTGCTGCATATTTTCTAATAAAATATTTGTGCTCAGTGTACACTAAAGAAAAAAAAATCTGCAGGTTGCATAGGAGTCAAAACTGGATTATAAATTCAAGTAATTGTGGTACGACTGCTTTTGACTCTCTGAACTTTTAAATATCTGCAACGGTTTATGATTCCTGTATAATTGTATTATTATATATAGAGGTCAAAATAATATCCAGATTTTGTGGTATGTTAGAAAACACAAAGGAGGCACAGACGGTACAGGACCTTCTCTCTATTTTTTTGGACTACATCCTAGTCATAATATCTATCTTAGTTGCATGCGTTGAATGTGCAGTGAGTCCAGAAATCAACACATTTCTCCGAAGCTTCTTCAGGAAGTTTTGAGGTAGCCGTTTTTCAAGAAACCAGTGGTACGTCAGTCCACCACTCCGGGAAATAAACCCCCACCACACCAGAGAGGCGGAGAGAGGAAGAGGACAAGCAGGGACGGTCAGGGTGGAAGTATCCAATGACCTTCAGTGATCACCTCAGCATTGTCCATGAATGATGTCAATGGTCAATTCCTCCCAACCGTGCCGTCCATAAGTGTCCTCGGCTCTCCCCATACGAATCCCCCGCCGCACTGTGTCACGCCGTGTACAGAGACCATGTGTGACATGTGCAGACGGGCAGGCCAATGGTATGCCTGGCTGCACATGTCACATGCGGTCTCTGTTATTATGGAAATTCGCTTGCTTAAACGCACAAATCCATGCTGCGCCAAAGTATGCCGCTGAACACAAAGAATTTCCCCGTGCTTAAAAGCACAGTTGTATTACGCTCTTTTGTGCAAGGACTGGAAGTACCCCTTTAGAGTCATGTAGAGTTAGGACACAGGAGACAGGTGTTGCTTTCTTGCTAGTTCCATTCTTCGTCTTCGAGCCTCAGCACAGGTATTTGTTTATTTTTATAGCTGTCTGACAGGAAGTGATGTCAGACAGAAAGTGATGTCTCAAACAGCAAACCAGGAAGTGGGGAGAGACAGGAAATGAACAGGAAACCACCATCACTTCAACATAGCCAGCTAACAAAACACTCCTATTACCACCGGAGTGAACTTTATCCAGCATTGCTCAGTGATCAATGCCCAATAACGTTACTATGATTCTCATTTACAGGGACAACGTCATATTATCTCCAGCGGTTGATCAGGCGCACTAGAGACAACAAACGCACGTTCCTTTCATATACTGCGTTCAAAACAAATGCATCCACGCAAGCCAATAAATCCGTGCATTGCACGGGGGCCCTAGCCGGCGTCCATACATTCGCCAAGAAGACACTGCTCCGCCACGCATAAGATATCTACTCCAATGGTTTACTCTTAGTGGGGATTTAAACCGGGTCACGCTCCAATTGGGCGTGACGCAGCAAACCCTGACACTGAGAGACATAATAACAAAATATTACAATACACTAAAAACACATCCTAATAAAATTTCCTCAACAGTCCCTCCTCTTTGTCATATGCTCCCCAGTGTCCCTCGATGAATCTCGATCTTCTTCTTTGGAAAAACAGTCCCTCTTGTATACGAAAAGTCCTGAATCGATAAAGGCAAAACAGACGATGGAAAATAACGCAAAGTCAATGTTTTCCACGCAAATCTTGACATGTAGACTTTTGGCAAAGAAAACAAATCTTGAAAGCAAATATTGACTCAGATGTTCTCCTCTTCGGGAGGTGACTCCGAGGGAGGTGGTGGGTCGCTTCGATTGCTGGTCGGTTTGGATACCTCTGCATCTGGTCCATGGGTTGGTCTTCGGGGCGTCTCGTCAGCGAAAATGTAGTCGTCTGGTCGGGCTTCGGTAACTCGGTTGATTAGACATCAGGAACGTCTCACTCCGGCCGTGTAGAAGGAATAGAAAACACCATAAGTACATGTACTCCCATTTCCTTTAGCCCGGATCCAATGAAAAACCAGAGATCCCCCAGGCCCCCCAAAGCCTTAAAAAGATTCCAACCCTCACTAGCTATAGCTCTGCCTCTGCCCCGCTCCTGTCAGTATGGGCCTGAACCTTGTCACTAGTATCTGCTATCCAGGTACAACCATCCCCCCCTATAAATTCACAGAAACTCCCCTTGGACGCTCTACTGTAATTGTTCCTCGGTGATCTCCCTCACTGCCTCAATGTTTAATCGAACATCTCATCCACTTTGGACGAGAAATTTTTTAATCGCTTCATAAGTTCAATTCCCCATCCTGTCCAAGCAGGAAACCATGCCCAGGCCTTATCAGAGCCGGAAAACTCCCTTCCAGCTCTCCCTGCCCTTCCTACCCTCCTCTGCACCATCAGTTCCTCCTGATCGGCTGCAACGTAAGATGCAGGGACAAGCTTCACCAGGACACATGAACCTCTCGTATTAGGGGGAATTACCTTATAAGCAGCTAACCCGCATAGGGAATTGTATGGACTCGTCAACACCGAACAAGAAGAACTTCTCTGACGGTCACGGGCCTCCAGTAGTAACTGAATAGACTGGGGGATCGCTCCCTCAGTCTGAACGTCACACCCTTCTTTCCAGCAGATATAATCTGATCTATGGTTGTCATTAAAGAGATCAGGGGTTTTATTTGTAAGGTTAACCATTGTACCTCCCTCACAAATGGAGGATCCCACAAACCTATCCCCTTTACAGGAAACTGATGCTGTAACACATCTGCGGGCCGCCTAACTGCCCGGACACCCATACAGGATTAGCAAGCGAGGCGCCAGAGCTAATATTAAAACTATAGCTGATATTACCCTCTAGGAATGTATCTTTAAGTTCTATCAACAAATGTCTCCCTGTGGCCCTTGGTAGTTTGAGGTGCACTTCCCTCACTAAAATAAACTAAACAAATAAACAAAAATGATACTCTTCATTCTTTGACGTAGTTGAGCAACTTCTTGCAGTGACCGGTGTGGACCCAGTTGTCTCGTCCCTCGAACTTAAGAGAGGTTGGCGTCGTTAGCGGCACCTGGAATGGCCCAAGATATCTCGGCTCTAGTCCCGTCCTTGGATGTTTCTTTAGCACGACACAATCACCTGGTTGAATAGAATGAACACTGTTTATTGAGTCTGGGTCCGGGAGAGACTCCTGAACCCGGTGGTGGACGTATGGTGATAACCCGTGGGGCTGCCTAGGGGCACCCCTGATGCAATAAAGGGCTACAGCGAAACATTCAGGCCATGGTCTCCGAGTATCGGCCATGATTTTTTAGATGTTTGCAAAAGTCTGACCCAATTACCATCAAAGAAAAAGGCAGTCGTGGTGGTTCTCGACGTGATTCCCTACTAGGTTGGAAAATTGATAGGTTAGAAAGGTTAGTAAAAGTTGGAAAATTGTCATTTTTAACACCATTATCATTATAGAGACATTATAGAGAGAGAGAGAGAGAGAGAGAGAGAGAGAGAGAGAGATAGAGGGGGACAGGATGAGATAGCAGAGTTAATTGCATTGGTGACGACAGAGACATCTGAGAAAAACTACTACAACAGATCCAGTGTTGGTAGATCCAGCCTGCTTCAGCAGAGTTAGCCCAGAAAAGAGCCTCTTCCGTTTTGGACACTTGATCACCGATCGCGGCTATCCCCTCAGGCCAGGTGTACATAATGCGGTTCCTCCAGACTGAAACCACCTTCTGTATGCCCTGCCGATTTACCATTATATAGACTTCTGAAGCCATAACTGAGCTACATCTAGAGTCCCTGATGCCTGCGGCCTGGGTCTAACTCGGTTTCTCCCATTTCCAGGCCTCAAAAGTCCCTTCCAGAGGGATACCCCAAGCGGTACCCTTAGACTATCTATACCGTTCTTTAAGGGGTTTCATGGCCTAAACCCCAAAAACTAGACTTCATGTACTGTGCAACCATCTGACTGTGGGAAGCCTCGCTTTCCTTCCCTTGCATGGACGGCCCATTTCCCATGGCGATTAATCGACTCTAGTCTTACCCCTGCGTCCAGAGAAACCCGTGCACCAATTTAGGAGAGCACCGCCCGGTGCCCTTTTTCTGCGGGGGATTGGCGGACTACAACCACTATAGTCCCCCAACTAGAAACCCTAATTGAGGCGATGTGTAACTATGGCTTGTTGTCCCAACACGTTTGGCACAGACCCACGGCACTATAATCCCTGTAATATAACTATGCCAAATGATTAGTCAATAACCACAGATCACCCCTCCGAATTATGTCTCTACCCCTCAAAACCGTATCCGCTGTATGACCCTACACTGCGTCGCCAGACTAAACTGCACAGCACACTTACACCCGCTTTTCTCTACAGTACAATGTGGCTTCTCTCACTACAGTTGTTAATGGGGATAGCCTTCTGCTGTCTATTTACTGGTTGTACGATGTCTCAGTAGTCACACGATAAAACTCCTGATATTGAAATTGACTATTCGCTGCGCAACGCAACTCTAAACAAAAAAACGTGTTACTCTCGCTTGCGCAGTCCGCCTCAGGAAAGTAAATATAAAAAAAAATTTCAAACCAAATTCTTTTCTACCGCAAAACCAACAGTAATGCGATACTGTAGCTCATGCTGTAAAACCAAAAACAATGGGGGAGGGGGCATGAATTGCCCTCTCGGGAAACAAAAAGAATTTCCCTTAAAACTGAAACTCAATATAAAGACAGAAAAGAATAAAAAAACGTATTGCCTTTGGAACAAAAACACACCCGCCAATGTCTTGGTGGGTTCACCTAACTTTCCACCCAGGCATTGAAATGCTAACTTTTCCCAGTATCAAGCCAATGTTAGATTCATTTTACCAGAGAAGCAGGATTTAACATTACAAAAAGGTCCCCAATACAGGTTTCTAGGAAAGAAAAGTTACGTTAATTTCGGTCCATTTTTTC